ACTTCTGGGCTGACCTCTGAGGAATTTGGTAGATCAAAAAGACAAGTTTTATTCTAATTGTAGAAAATCCCTTTGCACTACAGAAACGAAATTGCCAACCAGGTTCTTCATTCTGGGGCAGCATTATATTTTTCTCTTCAGGGGAACCATGTTACTTGAGTCCATTAGAGTTGACACCATACATGTTGTTTCTCACAAACTTAAAGGGCTGTTGCTGGTTTTCTGTGGAGAATTATAATCTTGTTGCTTTATAATACTTCTAATATTACCATATGTCTCTTTCCAGTTGCTTCAAAATTTTGAGATCAAAATTTCTTCCAAAACAAAACCAGTTCGTGCTAAAACCCATGGACTTTTGACTCCTGGAAATTCCATCAATGTGAAATTTGCTAACAGGAAGTAAGAATCTAAAGTTTAGTAAATTTTGGTATCCTTTTCTGAGATATAGACTTGCATAGGATGAAATATGATGATCATTCTCTTGTTCACTGGTTTGTGGATACCCTGTAAAATGAGCAGGCCTTATGTTCTGACTTAGTTGAAGCAATATGCAAGAGAAGTTAACTCTCTCATAGTAGATAATTATGAAATTTCATGTGGAATCTATAGAAACATAAACTGAAACATTTCCTTTTTGCACTGGAAGTCATTTTTCTCTGGAGCGATTTCTGGTGGTGGCAATGGGTGCACGGAAACAATAGTACAAAATTCAGATATTGCATACTGTCCTATGCTTTTTCTAGAGTGTTTAAACATGAGACAAATATTTCATGTGCTTTTGAGAGACTCTGTGATAGCAATGTACTGCATTCAAACTTAAGTCCATACGTGGATATTTTCTGGGGTTTTGATCCTCCCTAGAAGTGTCATTTTTAGAATTCTCCACACAGCAGTGGGGTCATCAGTAAAGTTTATCTTTACTTAGTTTGAAGAAATATTTGCACAATGTTTTTAAAAAATAAAAATTATTTCAGTACTTGGAAATGTAAGGAGTTTCTTAAAAAGGCAAAAGTCCTATCAGTTTATTTAGCCTGAAAATTTAGAATGTTTTAAAAATGTATTTATAAATCATTACAGGGGTGTGGGGTGTAGGTTGTAGCTTGTAGCCGTGTTGGCCTAAGGATATAGGCAGACAAGGTTCTCTGGTGAATCTGATCTCTTTTATTAGACCAACTTAATTCATTATTGCCTATAGACATGCTTTTCTAAAATTAAACTTTAAGAAATAAAGATTTTGATATCACATTACAGGGTTATGAGCCCAACTTCATAATAGTGCTGCTATGTGAAAAGCAAAATGTAAAACCAGCTAGTTTCACTGCTCCAACACAGGAAGTTATAGAGATAGTTCTCAAACATGATGATAAACATGATAAAATGATAACAAATAGTTATTTACATGTTCTCATTTCCTCTGAGAGAAAGTGTTATTAGCAGCATAGATTTGTGTTTTTTTTTAAGCATGTAATGTTTATCCTAACTATCTCTTTTTAAATGTAAACACTGGACCTTTCGCATTGTAGAATATTGCTCAGTGGATTCAGTACGCAAGTGCCCTCTGTAGGATTTAAGTATAACTGTGACAGTTTGGCATTCATTGACCATTTAGCAACCAGTTTAAGGAGCAAATGCTTTAAAGTCTTATCTCTGACAGCTAATGGGAAGTCTTTAACATCACAAGGAGTCAGGTTTAAATATAAAAGAAATCCATCTTTAGGAAAACATTTTACTTGTGGAATATTTTATGATGCCTTGAGGTGAACCATTTTACAAAAGAGCTCCAGCTTGAATATTCTAAAGTAAAATGAACTATTTCATAATCTGTAGTTAATTATTACTGTAGGAATGGCAGAATATTGTTTAAATGTAAGCAAGTTTACTTACTGATGTTTGTAAACCTTCTAACAATGGAAATGCAAGAAACTAGTTTTCAAATTGGGGTTCTTAATTTGTCTTTTGTTCTTCACCCATGCAGCCATCCAAAAAGTTCAAGATATGGTAAAAATGATTTTTTTTAATTCATTTTTACTTTTAATAGTATAATACTTTTGTGTATCTGAGCTCTGCAGACAGAGACAGTTCTGCATTTCTTGGAAGTACCAATGTGAGGACTGGGTGATGTTGCTCCTTTTCATGGATCTGCTATATAAATCTTTTTCTCTGTAAGGTCATTATTTTGTCAGAGTATTAAACATCTGTATAGATAGCCAATGAATCAAAGAAGTCAGAACTGTATTAGTTATACCCATGTAGCTATTTATGTTATTATTTTTTCTTGTGTTTTTTATTTCCTTTCCAATATCATTTCCAAAAAACACCCAGCTTTGCACTGACTCCATTTTTCTGAGACTGGATTATTTTTTTGTAGAGTCAGTCTACACATCTGAATATTATCCAGAAGATAGACAAAAACTTGTAATTTCATAAGGGTTAAGCTTGCTGCTTCCATGACACTCCCGGCATATCCTGACTGAGAGCAGAAGGGCCACACTCCGAATCCAAATTTGGATTCCTTGTGAGACCTGTATTTTGCACTGTTATATCATCATTAGTGTATAGCAGTGGTTTTCAAACTGGAGCCACCCCCCTAGCGGGGCGTGAAGGAATGTTGGAGGGGTGCAGTGCAGGGGGGCATGGGCAACAAGTTTGCAAGGAGCCAGTGCCACTGCGGCCTCATGGGGGGAATGCCGGGGTGGGGAGCCCTGGGCAGGCTCTACCAGTGGGCTGCTACGTCTCTGGGAGCCCGGTGCGGTGGGTGCGCAGCCTAGAGCCACAGCAGGGCCAAGGCAGGAGGTGCTGGAGCCGCAGTGGGTGGAGCCTGGCTTGCCAAGCTGAGCCGTGGCGGCTGCTAGGATGAAGAGTACCCTGTGCCTAGCGGTGCTGCTCCTTTGGGGTGAGGAGGCGGGGAGCGCAAACAAAATTGTAACTCTAAAGGGCGCTCAGCTCAAAAAGTTTGAAAACCGCTGGTCGAGAGCAACTATTGGTGTATTCTGATATTTTTGTTAATTCATACCAATTCCAAGCTGATACTTCACAGTACAAGAGGAATTCTAGAAATGTTATTTTAAGAATTTCATTCATCTCATATAAAAGAAAGCTTTGATTTGTTTTGATAAAGAATCTTGTTTGATGCATTTAATAAAATATTTATATAAAATAGATGTCTCAGTTTTTGTTTCGTATTGTTGTTCACAATAGCACTTTTCCGTAGTATCTCCAGATTTCGAACATGTTGGAAGGAAACATTTTATAACTGGGAAATTGATGCATGGGAAATGATTCCTTTAGCTTGAGGTGTTGGGGATTGCTACAAGATTTATAAGGTGGGTAAGGAATTTGTTAAAGGGAAGATGGTAGTGTTGTTGAGGGGGGAACTAGCAGGCTGGAGAAACATTCCTCAAGGAATAGTTTTGAGATTAATCTAATTTACTATTTTCATTAATTAATTAGCAAAAAAGTGTTTCACAAAATTGGGAAATGTTGTTAACACAGAGGATTAAATTATTGTAAAGGAAAACCTGGATGACCTTAAGGACTGACTGGAATAATAGAAATGGAGGAAATGTAATAGTACAAAGTACAAGGTTATACAATGAAGAAATAACAAGGTTTTCTGCTGGGAGTTCATAAGGTGAAATGATAACAGAGAAAAACTTGGGTGTATTAGTTGATCAAAAAATGGCTATGAGCTGCCAGTGTTACGAAAGAGAGAAATACTATCTTTGGATGCATCGCGCAAGGTATTTCCAGCAGAAATGGGAAACAATTAATGATATTGTACAGGGCACTAGTGACTCCTCATCTGGAGTGTTGTTCATAATGCTAATCACCTATGTTCAAGAAAGATGAATTCAGACTTGAAAAGGTACAGAGAGGGGCTGCTAGGGATATGACAGATGTATAATTTAGTATGCATTAAGAGGCTTAAAAATGTAATAAAAACTGAGCAGACACGATACACAGCAATATAATTGCACAAATTGTCCTTTCCTGCACTGAAGAAAAGCATTAGATGAAAAAGAGATAACTGGTATGCAAAGGAGCAAAACGGTTCAGCTTGTGTTGCTTTCCTCTATAAGACAATCAAGGGAATGAAGATCCTATCTTAAATGAGCTTGAATTGTTTAGTCTAGCAAAGTGAAGGTTGAGAAGGGATACGATTGCTATTTATACATGCATCAAGACTGTTAGCACAAGGGAAGGGGAAGAACTGAAGGATGGGTTTGCACAAGAACAAATGGAATAAACTAGCCATGAATAGAATAAATTTAAGTTGGAAGGTAGAAAAAGGTTTCTAACTATCAGGTGAGTGAAGTTCTAGAACAGCCTTACACTGGGCCAATAAAGCAAACAGGTTTCTAAAAGAGCTTGACCAATCGATGAAAAGGGGTAGAAATTGTTTCCTGGCAATAACAGGGAACTGGACTTGATGATCCAGGAGGATTCTTCCAGCTCTATGTTCCTACCTTTGACTTGAATGCGAGCTTCATTTGTTGGGTAATTATTGAAATAAATACAAATGAATGTTGAATTATTAATTACAAACCAATACAGAATACTGAGTGTGTCTACACATGCATTACTGTGCTTTAATAAATGCTTTAGTTTAGGGAATGAGCTTTAGTTCAAGCACACCCACCACCATTTTGAAGTGTGAGGACACTTATACATGAGACGCAGCAGACTGCTAGAGCACAGTAATTGCCACGCTCCAGGAGCCTCGACTAATTGAGTCTGCTCCAACATGCTGGAATTCCAGCATGGCAGAGCAGCCTCCATACTCGTGTACAGGAGCCCCCAGTTTTTTGTGATGCTTTAATGCGCATTAAAGTGGGCTAAATATGCATTAAAATGCATGTGTGGGTGCACCCACTGACACCATAAAGAACATAACCATAGAGAGGCAGCAGCTGATACCAGTTGATACTCATAAAAATTGTGATCTGGGGATTTTTAGGCAAAGGGTTCATTGTTTGTTATTTTTTCTTTCAGTACTCAAGAATAATATATATATATTTGCAAATGCATTCCACTTTTTCCTTCTAAAAGCAGCTGAATTGATCAGGGCTTTTTAGTTTAACGACTGCAATTTAAATATTACCTGCTATGTTCACAGGGGATCAGAGAATAAAATAGAAGAGTCTTTATTTTAGAAGAAAGGGGTATTGAAATTTTAGAGGGTAGCACGAGAGAAGATAATTGTGTTATTTTATGCCATTCCATGATCTTAAAATCAGAGATTACAGGAAATTAAAGGCCGGCATTTTTAGAAAAAATGCTTTTTCATGCAGTGTATAGTCTACCTCTAGAATCTGGTATTGCAAGAGGTCACTGCCAAACACTGCCAACAGACTTTAGAAATCTAGTCTTTAGAAAGATTAAAGAGGAAATGTAAATTGCAGCTAATAAGATAACATGAATACAGTATTATCAAACTGCATGCTTTGAAGTATGCAAAGGTTGTCTGTAAGTGGTGAAAAGCCATGTCATTTTTATTATGTACTACATGGTACATTTGGTTAGGGACAAATCTAGTCTCTGATTTGCAAGATGATTATTTTAGCTGAATGCTGGGAGGAGGGTGGGGAAAGGACAACGAGGTGAAAGAATTGTTCCTACAAAACTGAAGCAACTGTGTTGACGGTTCCATTTCCTTTCCATCCTTGTGACAAGGTATTTAGCAGAATTTGCAGATTTGATTGAAATCCCACAGGCAGTGCCATGAGTGCTACTGCTGTGACCTCAAACATGCTACCTTTTGGGCTGTCAGCCATGCAACTTTAGCACCCATGCCACCCCAGCCTCCAGCCCTTCTGTGAAACGTACAGTAGCCTAGTACCTGTGTAGCCCTCATGGCCATACCACATCATTTTTGTGGGTAGGAACTCATTGGAACATCGTCCAGGCCCC